CACCAGAAGAAGTCACCAGATCTCATTACATATGGTTGTAAGCCACCCTGTGGTTGTTGGGAATTGAATTCAGGACCTCTGGAAGAGCAGCCGGTGCTCTTAACTGCTAAGTTATCTCTCCAGTCCCCTAGAAATAATTTTTTAATGTGTTGGTTTACTCATGTGTAGTATGACGGTTTCTGTCCCGCCCAGTACCCCACAACCGGCAAGTCCCAGGAAAATCACACACAGGACTCCATAAGATTATAAACTGATTGGCCCATTAGCTCAGGTTTCTTGTTAACTCTTATAGCTTATATTAACCCATTATTCTCATCTATGTTAGCCATATGGCTTGGTACCTTTTTCAGCTGTCAGCTTACATGTTGCTGCATTGGTGGTCTGCGCAGGAGTGGCGGAGGGAGCTTCCTGTTTTCCCAGAATACTCCCAGTCTCTTTGCTTCACCCCTACTTCCTGTCTGACTTTCCCGCCTATACTGCCTGCCTGGCCAATCAGTGTTTTATTAAAATATGATTGACAGAATACAGATAATTCTCCCACACCACTCATGTATCCTAAATAATTTTATTTTGTGGGCTAGGGACATAGCTCAGTTGGCAGTGTCTAACGTGCACAAAAAAAGCTTCATAAAATTGAACATAGTGGCAGATGCTTATAATCCCAGCACTTGGGAAGTACAGGCAGAAGAGTCACACGTGCAAGGGCAGCTATGTAGAAGGTTGGAGACCAGCCTGGGTGGGATACATAAGACCCTGTTTCCGAGAACAGTGCAGAGAAGCTGGGCAGTGACTCCATGAGTAAGGGCTCTTACCACCATGACAGATGAACTGAATTCAGTCTCCAGAACCCACATGATGGAAGGAAGAACAGACTCCCAGGAGTTGCTCTCCGATCTCCACATGCACACTCCACACATTCACGCACACACTTACACACGCGCACGCACACACGCGCCCACACTCACACACAAATAAACATAGTTTATAAAAAACTTTGTTCTGTAAATCTAAATGTTAAGGTGGCTTGTGAGGTGCCTGGTTCAGGTTTGGAGGTGAGAAATTGCTGATAAACTCAAAGGCTGCTTAGTCTCTGGTGCTTAGCAGCCATGGGCCATTTCCTGTTTGACACATGCTGTGCAGTCCTGAGGGATCAGAACTGTTGTCTTAGCGGGCCATCTCCCCTGGCTTTGTTAGTTCTATTGAAGCTCTTGACCCTCAGCCAGCAAGAAATGTTAACCAGATCCTGGAGTGAGCGGCTCCTTTCCCTTCCATGTACCCGGAACTTTCCCTGTCTCTTTATCCTGCCTTGTGTATATTATCTGCTTTTCCTTGTTGTTCTTTTTCTCACTTGAGTGACCGCTTTAGTAGTCACTGTTAAGTGCCAGATTTTCAGTCGGTCAGCCAGGCTTTGGTAACAGGGTGTCCGCGCAGCTGCTGCCTTTGGGGTGCTCTTACAGTAACTTAATTATTCAGCACCGGGGATTGGATTTGAGCCTCGAGACTGCTAAGCAAGTGCTGTGCACTGAGCTGTAGCCTCAGACTTTCCCAGTGACTCCTAAATCCCTCTGCATTTCACTCCACTCTGAGCTGTCCTGGAGCTCACTCTGTAGACCAGGCTGGCCTTGAACTCACAGAGATCCTCCTGCCTCTGCCTCCTTAGTACTGGGATTAAAAACATGCGGCACCATTGTCCAACAGAAATTGTTTTGTTGTTTTGATGAAACCTTTTTACTCTATTTCTATTTTTCTGGATATGAAGAAATAGATATGGATATCTATTTTTCGTGGATTTTCTCTTCTTCTTCTTCTTCTTCTTCTTCCTCCTCTTCTTCCTCCTCCTCCTCCTCCTCCTCTTTCTCCTCCTCCTTCGCTTCCTCCTCCTCCTTCTTCTTCTGGTCTGGATCTCACTAAGTAGCTCTTACTGTCCTGGAACTCTCCACACTGACCTTGAATGCATAGAAGTCCACCTACCAGCTAGGCATTGGTGGCGCACACCTTTAATCCCAGTACTCGGGAGGCAGAGGCAGGCGGATCTCTGTGAGTTTGGGGCCAGCTTGGTCTACAGAGAAAGTTCCAGGACAGGCCCCAAAAGCTACAGCCCCACTTGTGCTAGGATTAAAGGTGTGGACCCTAACAGTACTTTATTTTGGTTTTTGGGACAAGGTTTTATGTAGATCAGGATAGCTTTGAACTCCTGATCATCTAACTTCCATGTCCCAAGTGCTGGGTTACTGCAGGTGATATTGTTATGTCCAGATTAAAGTTTTTATTTTTTAATTGATATTTATTGAGCTCTACATTTTTCTCTGTTCCCCTCCCTGCTTCTCCCCTCCCCATTTCAACCCTCCTCCAAGGTCCCCATGCTCCCAATTTACTCAGGAGATCTTGTCTTTTTCTACTTTCTACTTCCTATGTAGATTAGATCTATGTAAATCTCTCTTAGTGTCCTCATTGTTGTCTAATTTTTCTGGGGTTGTGATTTGTAGGCTGGTTTTCTTTGTTTTATGTTTAAAAACCACCTATGAGTGAGTACATGTGACAATTGTCTTTCTGGGTCTGGGTTACCTCACTCAAAATAATGTTTTCTAGCTCTGTCCATTTTTCTGCAAAATTCAAGCTGTCGTTATTTTTTTCTGCTGTGTAGTACTCCATTGTGTAAATGTACCACAATTTTCTTATCCATTCTTCGATTGAGGGACATTTAGGTTGTTTCCAGGTTCTGGCTATGACAAACAAAGCTGCTATGAACGTAGTTGAGCACATGTCCTTGTGAGCATCCTTTGGATATATATCCAAAAGTGGTATTACTGGGTCTTGAGGAAGGTTATTTCCTAATTTTCTGAGAAATCGCCACACTGACATCCAAAGGGGTTGTACCAGGTTACATTCCCACCAGCAATGCAGAAGTGTCCCCTTTCCCCACAACCTCTCCAGCATAAGTTGTCATCAGTGTTTTTTATTTTGGCCATTCTTACAGATTAAAGTTTTAAGTATGTGCTATGCCTTGACTTTGAAGTATAAGTTGGAGTGCATTCCTTCTTTTTTTCTAGTATCTAGAACAAGCAGTAAAATTTGAGAGTAACTTCTGAAGCAGTTAGCAATCCTTTCAAGGAGACAGTCCTTTTATATTCTTTAAAATATTCCCCCTGGAGGTGGATCTCTGTGAGTTCATGGCCAGCCTGGTCACAAAACAAGTTTGGGGATGGCCAAAGCTGTTACATAGAGAAACCCTGTCTCAAAACCACCCTCTACTCCGAAAAAAGAGGTTAAGGAAGGCAACAAAGAAAGAATTGAGGAAACAGTCATAGCAAATACAGCTTTCAGAGAAAGACAAATAAAAACTGGCTAACAATCTTCTATAGCCTTAAGTTAATAAAGGAAACAATAAAAATCAGAGCAGAAATCAGCAAAATGGAGACTAAGATATCCCCTTGATTTTTTTATGTGTGTGTGTATGATGTGTGCATGTGGGCATAAGCATACATGTGACTTGGTATGTTTGTGGAGGTCAGAGGACAACTTTCAGGTGTGAATTCTTGTCCCGCGCTACCGTCTCGCCCGCAAGAACGACGCGGGGCACTTAGGATCCTTCTGCAGCAAAGCTTTAATGCATCTTGAGAGGGAGAGCATAAACTTACATGGCGGAGACCAAGAATGAGGGGAACCCAGCCCTTATAAAGGAAACAGTCCTCGCTTCGGACGTGTCACTCTGGGATTGGTCCGCTGCCCATTATCCCAGATGATGCCTCGGAAGTAGGCAGGGACGCAGCAGTAGAAAGTTACCAAGCACACGCGCTGGGATTAAAGGCGTGTGCTACAACACCTTGAACTCACAGAGATCTGCCTGTCTCTGCCTCCCAGGCATTGGGACCAAAGGCGTGTACCACCACACCTTGAGGTCACAGAGGTCAATCTCTACCTTTGTCCCTTGAAGCAATGGAGAATGTGGTTGCGGCCCTCCACAGATTCTGGGAACGGAACCCAGGTGATCAGGGCTCTCACAGCAAGAACGATTACCCTCTGAACCATTTTGTCTGTCTTTTTAAGCTCTCTTTCTTCTCCTCTTTGAACTTTTGCTTGTTTGTGACATTATTGGCTTTTCGATGTTTTTGAGCTAGGCCTTGGCTCTCCTTAGAACTCACTACATAGACTAAACTGACTTCAAACTCACAGAGATCCGCCCCTCTCTGCCTCCAGAGAACTTTTTATTTATATGTACTTGTGCATGTGTGTCTGTTATGCGTTTTCAAGCACACAAAGGCCCCGTCAGATTCCCTGGAGCTGGGGTTTCAAGCAGTTGTGAGCCACCTGACATGGATGCTGGGAACTGAAGTCAGGTCTCCTGGAAGAGCAGCCAGTGCTCTGAATCGCTGAACCATCTCTCCAGCCCCATTAAGGAACATAGTAAACGCTGGGCATGGTGGCTCACATCTGTAATCTCAGCATTCAGGAGATTGAGGCAGTAGGATTGCTTTCAATTCCAGGTCTCCCTGGACTAACTTTGAGATGTAGCAAGCCAGGGTTAGGCTGCTGCTCCCTTCTTTGTTCACTAGAGCCTTTTAAAAGTATTTTACACTTCATTTTTAATTGTGTGTGCTGTGTGTGTTGTGCACATGTGTGTGCATGCATGCATGCACATGAATGTATAAACGGTCACTCTTTAAAAAAACATATTTTTATTTGTGTCTGTGTGTGCATAGAGGATAGAACAGGGTACCAGATTCCTCTGGACTGGAGTTACAGATATTTGAGGGGTCTCAGCTTGTTAGTTGGTCTCTGGGATCTGAATTCTCATCTCCATGATTGCACATCAAGTACTGTAACCACTGAGAAAACTCTCCAGCTCACCTACTAGCTCATTTCTTTTATTTATTTATTTATTTATTTATTTTTATTTATTTATTATGTATACAACATTCTGTCTGTGTGTATGCCTGCAGGCCAGAAGAGGGCACCAGACCTCATTACAGATGGTTGTGAGCCACCATGTGGTTGCCGGAAATTGAACTCAGGACCTTTGGAAGAGCAGGAAATGCTCTTAACCACTGAGCCATCTCTCCAGCCCTAGCTCATTCCTTACAGAACAAGAGTGCCACTCAGAAAGAAGCTGCTCATTGTCCCCACCCCGTCTCTGAAGTCCTGGGACAGAGACTTTCCCTGCAGGGAGAAGACTGGTGGTTTCTCAAAGGAACGGACTTCAGCTGTAACAGAGCATCGTGAAGCCTCTTTCAAACAGCTTGGGATGTTGTATGGCTCAATTATAGGGCACCCTCCCAGTATGGAAGAGGCTTTGGGTTTAATCCCTAGCAAGGTAAATAACAATGATAATAAAAAGAACAATAACCATAATAATAATAATAATAATAATAGAGAAATAAATTGGAACAGTCCGGAGCATTGTGGGGAAGAGCAATTGGGAGACTGACTGTCTCACTGGTTTTATGAACTCATTTGTAGACTGGGCAGATTTCCAGGAAGGTAAACAAACACAGGCATAACATATGAACACTGACCCAGGAAGCAATTCCTTCCAAAGAGTCCAAAACAACTGAGCAGTCATACAGTCCTGAGTGAATTTTAACACATGAAAGTTCTGCAAAAAATACTGCCCCAGCACTTGTGAGACTGAGGCAGGAGGATTGCTGCACATGTGAGGCCAGCCTTGGCTGAACATAGAGTTCCAGGACAACCTACATAGAATGAGACCCTGGCTCATAAAACCAAAACCATGTAAGAAAAAACAAGCCAAGTGTGGTGGTGGCATATGTCTTTAATCCCAGTACTCGGGAAGCAGAGGCAGGAGGATCCCTATGAGTTTGAGGCTAGCCTGGTCTACATGGTTAAGATCTAGCACAGTGAGGGCTTTGTAGTGAGAACTTGTCTTAAAAAACAACAAGCCAAAACCAAAACAAACAAACAAAAAAACAAATAATATAGTTGAGCACACCCCCTATAGTCACTGTGAGCACACCCCCTATAGTCTGTGAGCACACCCCCTATAGTCACTGTGAGCACACCCCCTATAGTCTATGAGCACACCCCTATAGTCACTGTAAGCACCCCCTATAGTCACAGTGAACACATACACTATAGTCACTGTGAGCACATCCCCTATAGTCACAGTGAACACACACACACTATAGTCACTGTGAGCATACCCCCTATAGTCTGTGAGCACACCCCCTGCAGTCACTGTGAGCACACCCCTATAGTCACTGTAAGCACCCCCTATAGTCACTGTGAGCACACCCCCTATAGTCTGTGAGCACACCTCCTATAGTCACTGTGAGCACACCCCCTATAGTTACTGTGAGCACACCCCTTATAGTAACTGTGAGCACACCCTTTATAGTAACTGTGAGCACACCTCCTATAGTCACTGTGAGTACACCTTCTGCTGTGTGGCATGTGTGGCAACTTGGGAGGCGTGGAAGTGGTGAGATGGGTTTACTTCCTCCACTGACATCCCTCAATAAATAAACTAGCAGACAATAATTACACACCCCAGAAACAGAACAAGCAACAGTATATCCCCTGAAATGTCCTTTCTGCAAACAACAGACATTACAAGGCATGAAAAGAAACAGGAAAACATGACTCATACAGTGAAGAGCAAACAAAGGCAGGCGACAGAGACTGCCTGCGCAAGTGGGCAGAGGTCAGGTTCGACAGACACAGCCTTCAAAGTCACTGTTATAAATAACGAGTCAAAGGAGTTATGTTAGAGAAGGGAAGACCTGTCGGAGGACAAGGTCACAGCACCAGAAAGAGAAATTGTTTTGTTCAAGGTCAGCAAGGGCCACATAGTTCCAGGCCAGCCTGGGTTACAGAGTAAGACCAAAAAGAAAATAACTGGAAATCTCATAAACTTATTGTTGCTGGGTGTGGTGGAACATACCTTTAATTCCAGTATTTAGGAAACAGAGACAGGCAGATCTCCGTGAGTTTGAGGCCAGCCTGGTCTACAGAGCAAGTTCCAGGACAGTCAGGGTTCTTACACAGAGAAATCCTGTATCAAAAAAACAAAAATAAAAATTTTAAAAATTAAATTAAAAATAAATAAATAAATAATCTTGTGGTTACTGGGCATGGTGGCACATGCCTTTAATCTCAGCACACGTGCACACTCACACACACACACATATCTACAAACACAAATCCAAAAAACCTACAAACAATGCAAAAACTCTGCTAGACTTCCAGAAGGCCCAATTAACTTCAAGTAGAATAAATGCAGAAAAATCATCTTGGCAAAAATACTGAGAGTCAAAGACCAGAAGGGAATAAATTTTTAATTTTATTTTTTTGTTTTTTATTTTTTCCTTTATTTATTTATTATTAATTTTTTTTGAGACAAGGTTTTTCTGTATCTTTGGCTGTCCTGGAACTCACTCTGTAGACCAGGCTGGGCTCGAATTCAGAGAGATCTTCCTGCCTCTGCCTTCCGAGTGCTGGTATTAAAGGCGTGCGCCACCATGCCCAACTGGTTTTCTTTCTTCGTTTTTTTGAAAATATTATTGTTTACTTTTATGTGTATTGGTGCGTCGCCCCCATGTGTGTCAGTTTGACAGTTCTAGATTTACTGGGAACTGGAGTTACAGACAATTGTGAGCTGCCATCTGGGTGCTGGGAATTGAACCTGGGTCCTCTGGAAGAGTAGCCAGTACTCTTAATTGCTGAACCATCTCTCCAACCCTATTTTTTTTTTGTTTTGTTTTGTTTTGAGACAGAATTTCTCTTTGTAGCCCTGACTGTCCTGGAATTTATTCCCTAGACCATGCTGGCCATGAACTCCCATAGATCCATCTACCCTACCTCTGACTTCCAAGTGCTGGGATTAAAGGCGTGTACCACCTCATGCTCAGGAAGGGAATATATTTTCAAGATTTTTTTCATCATCGTATCATTATTTCTGCGTGTGTGAGAGAAACAGACAGAGACACAGAGATAGAGACAGACTTAGAGAGGACAGGGACAGGATTTATGTGCAGCACATGTGTGCGGGAGCCCATGCAGGCCAGAAGAAGGCATCAGATCCCCTGGAACTAAAGTAACAGATAGTTGTGAGCCACTGTATGCTAGAAACTGACCTGGATCTTTGCAAGAACAGTCAGTCCTGTAACCACCCGCGCCATCTCTCCAGCACTAAGGTGGAAATCTTGAAAGCAACACAAGAAAAACAATCTTGTCGCAAGGCAACCCAAATGAAATTTACTGCTGACTTTTCGGCAGAAACAACAGAGAGAGGTCAGATGACATATTTACAGCCCAGCCAGCAGAGCTGCAGCTCAATAGGCCTTTCCAGCAGCCCGCAGCTGAAATACACAGTCCAGCAGTCCTGAGTGTGCTGGATGTTTCTTAGAAGTGGACTTGACATGCAGAGCCCCTGGGTTCAACCCCAGCACTAGTTAACAAAGCACTAATAAAACAAAGTGTAGAAATGTGGTTGGCAGCCTGAGCGCAAAGGTATGGTGTGGGGTAATTCTGTGCTGGGCTCAGAAATGTCTCCAGGTGGTAACTCAAGTTCATAAACATGAACGGGAAACAGAGACGTTAAGAGTAATAATGCCAAACTGCAAGCATATACTTGATCTTGTTCTCTCTGTTTCATTAGCATTTTTATTTAATTAAATTAATTAATTTTTTATTTGCTTGTTTTTGTTTTGTTTTTCAAGATAGGGTTTCTCTGTGTAGCTATGGCTGTCCTGGAACTCACTCTGTAGGCCAGGTTGGCCTCAGACACAGAGAGATCCGCCTATCTCTGCCTCCCGAGTGCTGGGATTAAAGGCGTGCACCATCACCACTGGCAGTATTTTTTATTTTTAAAAGAATTATAGAGACTGTTTCTTAAAGTTGTTTATGCATATAGGTGTTTTGCCTGAATGTATGTTTGTGTGCCACATACACGCCGGGTGCCTGATGAAGAAGACAGACAGCATTGGCTCACCTGGGACGGCAGTTACAGAGGGCTGTGAGCTGCCGTGTGGGTGCTAGAAGCCGAACTCTGGGTGCACAGCCAATGATCTTAACCACTGAGTCATCTTTCCAGTTCCTTTACTGTTAACTGTGTCTCCACATAATTATCATGTGTACTCCACATGTGAGTGGCATGTCCATGGAGGGCAAAAGTGTTGGATTCCGTGGAAGCGGAGTGAGCGGCTGATGTAAGCCTCTTGAGGGTACTGGGAAGAGAATTCAGGTCCTCTGGAAGAGCCGGAAGCTCATTGTATTGTTGAGACTGCTCTCTGGCCCTTCATTAGTATTTTTATGTTTTCTTTAAAAGATTTATTTATTTATTATGTATTCAGTGTTCTGCCTGCATGTATCTCTGCAGGCCAGAAGAGGGCACCAAATCTCATTACAGATGGTTTGAGCACATGTGGTTGCTGGGAATTGAACGCAGGACGTTTGGAAGAGCAGGCAAAGCTCTTAACCACTGAGCCATCTCTTCAGCCCCCTCATTAGTATTTTTAAAAGTTACATTTATTATACTTACCTGACTGGAGAGATGGTCAGAAGGTTTTCCCAGGGTGAGGTTCGACCACTGCACTCCAGATGTGTACCAGCTACCTTAGCGTTCCTGGTGCTCCATGGGATCCCAGGACTTTGTGGGATTTGGGGGTTTTATTTGAGGCCATAAAGCTCTCAGACATTTTGGTGATTCTAGATCAGTTCATGTTTTACAACAGCTGTTATCAGGAGGGCTGCTAGGGGTAGCCTGCACCCATTGCCTGTCTGGGGAAGCTCTGTGGGGTCTGTGGATGTAGTCCCACCTTCTTTCTCTCCCAAAGTCTGATGAGCACAGAACCCAGCCACACTTGAATGCCCAAGGAAGGGGTTTATTTCTCAGAGAGAGCCCAGTGACTATATGTGCATGTTTATTTATTATTTTATTAATATGTTTGGTTGAGATTTTTTATTTTTAATGTTTGCATATATGCTTGAGTCTCTCTCCACTGCGTGGGTAAGAAGGACTATACTCAGGTCATCTGGCTTGGCAGCAAGTACCTTACCCACTAAGTCATCTTCCTAGCCCCTCTCTGCCCCCATGATGTGTGAGCTTTTGCACTCATGAAGGGCAGGCCAGAGGAGGAAGGGACTAAGCTTTCCACCTTAGTCCTTTGAGATAGGGCTTCACTGAACCTGGAGCTAGTCCCGCACTAGCAAGCCCCAGAATTCCTTTTGTTCACAGCCATGGCCACACTCTGCTTTTAATGTTGTGCTGGGCATTTGAGGAGCAAGAGATTCTTTTCCACTGAGCCATCTCCCCAGTGCTGTTTGTGCCGTTTTTATTTATTTTTAAATTATTATTTATTACTTATTTATTTTGAGACAAGGTCTCTCTTTGTAGTCCTGGCCTGGAATTCACAGAGATCCTCTTGCATCTGCCCCACACTGTGTGCTTCTACACTCAGCGTCTGTACGGTCTTTAAAGGGGATTTTTTTGTTTGTTTAATAATTCAGCATAGGCTTGTGCTTTAGCTTCTATGTGATCAGGAGCACAAACAGTTTTGTTTTCCTAATAAAGCCTTGAGGTGGTGGGAGCCTGTTTGTTCTTTTCTTTTTCTTCTTTCTTTCTTTTCTTTCTTTCTTTTTTTTTTTTTTTTTTTTTTGGTTTTTCGAGACAGGGTTTTTCTGTAGCTTTGGAGCCTGTCCTGGAACTTGCTCTGTGGACCAGACTGTCCTTGAACTTAGAGAGACACGCTTGTCTCCGCCTCCAGAGTGCTGGGTTAAAGGCATGCCCCACCAACACCCGGCTTATATTTTCTTATTTTGTGTATATGTTTGAGTTTGGGCATACTTGAGCCTTGGGCCGCACATGGAAGTCACAGGACAAAATGCTGAAATTGCTGCAGTCAATTCTCGCCTTCTACAAGGTGGGATCCGGGAATTGAACTCAGATCGTCATGATTGGCAGCAAATGCTTTTTCCTGTCCAGCCGCTGAGTCACTTGGGAGTCCGGCCTTTTCCCTTCCTCGGGGATAGGTCACTGCTCCCTCTGCCCTCCAGTGCTTGTTTTCCAGGCTTCCTGTTAGAGGCCTTCAAAGCAGGAGGATCTTGGGAGATCTGAGGTCATACATTTGAGCAATTGAGAGAATTCCGGAGGCTGTAATGTAGAGAGGAAGGACTCTGCGTTGGCTACCGTGTCTTGAGAAAGTATTGCATCACTCCGGGCCTCAATTTCCCTGGGTGTCAAGTGGCTCCTTCGGTGCAGCGCGTCAGCTCCGGAGGGAACCGATTTATTCAACAGGTGGCAATTCCCAAGGTGAGAGAGGCAGGCACAACCCGCAGAGCTAGGACAAAGGCAAGTCCCCGGGGCGGGTCCCGGAACGGTTTCCACCTGGCGCTGCTGCAAGGGTGATTGGCATCGGCATGGGCACCTTTGTCCCGCACACTGGCCAGCTGGGATTCTGGGGAACCCGCCGGCTGGCGCGGGCTGAGCGCGGCAAGTCAGGGCGCGGAGAGGGGCGGACCTGGCCGGGTGGGCGGAGCGGCGTGAGAGCGGCGGGCGGGGAGGTAGGCCGTGGCTGCTGGCAGTGGGGTGGCCGGGCCGAGTGGCCCGGGTACCCGGGGTTCTGCCCCCGCCGGGTGCTATAGCGGCTCATCCAGGCTAGGGGCTCCGGGGCTGGCGGGGTCCGAGAGGTGGCTCTCCAGACCTCGTGTTCCTCGCACTGAGAGATAGAGCCCAGTGTCCTGCAGAGGACGCTCGTCAGCGCGTTCTCACCACTGTCATCTTGTCACCTCTTTGCCTAGCTCCACCCCCGGACTGGGAAACCCGGCTGCTGACGGTCCGCGGTCCCCCGGGCGCAGGCCCCGGGCTGCCCCGCTTGTCTCCTCCGGCCAAGCGCCACGAGCCCGGGATGCAGCTCTCCAGCAGGGCGGCAGCCAGGGAAGCGGCGAGCCGCGACGTGCTGGCCGCGGACCTCCGCTGCAGCCTCTTCGCCTCGGCGCTGCAGAGCTACAAGCGGGACTCGGTGCTGCGGCCCTTCCCTGCCTCCTACGCCCGCCACGACTGTAAGGACTTCGAGGCCCTGGTGAGTGCGCCCTGATCGAGCGTTGCTCGCCACATCCTGGGCCAAGTGGCCCCGTGGAACGTCAGGCAGAGGCAGCGCCACCCGTGTTAGAAAACACACCAATTCCTTGGACTTCCCATTGCCAGCCTGGCCTTGGGGAAGGTTTCCATCAGCAAGAACACTCCTCAACACCCTCGTGTAGACACACTGCCAAGTCAGTTGATGGCTGCTTCCTCGTGTCGGTGACAGACTCCCGGGAGTGATGCGAGGAATAGCTGCATAGTCATCCACAAAAATGCTCAAGTGTGACTCCAAAGGGGTGTCTATCTGATCCAGCCGTTCTGCCTAGCTAGGAAGTTGTCCCTCCCTTTGCGACTAGTTGGACTTTGCTCTTCAGATGAAGTTACATGTGAACAGTTCTTATAAAAACAGTCCCACACAGGGCACAGATGTGTTGTGACTTTCTGATAATTAATAATTCTGAGTGCGGAAATTACAGGCTTCAGCTCCGTGCTTGTCCTATAAGGCATATAATTTCTTGAAGAGATAGGGTTAGTATTCCAGATGTCAGCTATCCTTGTAGTCCAAATATTTGGCACCATCTAGGAAGATGTAAGTTGCCAAAGTTGATTCAGTAAAGAAAATAGAAAGTCTCTGGTAGTGGTGTGTATACCCAGAAGGAAGAGGTAGGAAAAGCACAAATTTGAAGCTAGCCTGGGCTACAAAAAGAAACAAACAAACCTTTGAGTCTAGCTGCTTCATTGATGTGATGAGCACTATTTCAAAATATAGGTGTAATAAATAATTACACTCTCATAGAAATTCTACCAAAAATATTGATATGTGGTTAGATGTGGTGGCAGGCAGACATCTGTAATCCCAGCACCTGGGAGGTGGAAGCAATAGGTTAAATAATAGTTCAAGGTCAGCCTTATGTCTAGTTTCTGTACAGCCTGGACTACAGAAGACTATCTCAAAATAAGAAAGTAGGAAAGGAAAAAAGTCTGGTATATCCTTGGTATTAAAGCTGATAAAAGTAATAAAAGAAAAGAAAATTATTGGGCAATGCCATTCCTGAGTATAAATGCAAAAATCTGGGGCCGGAGAGATGGCTCAGAGGTTAAGAGCACTGGCTGCTCTTCCAGAGGACTCAGGTTCAATTCCCAGCACCCACATGGTGGTTTACAACCATCTAACTTCAGGTCCAGGGGGCTCAGGACTCTCTTCTGGCCTCTGCCAGCACCAGGAATGCACAAGGCACACAGACATACATCCAGGCAAAACACCCATATACATTAATTTTTTCTTCTTTAAATAAAAAAATCCTCTAAAAATACATAATAAATAAATAAAGTCTCTACAAAATATTAGGACCCCAACTCAATGTATAATAAAAGGAAATTCATAATCATCGGGTTGAGTCCCTGCAAAGAATGCATAACCTTTTTAGTTTGGGGAAGTCAGCTCATGTAATGAACCCTGTTATTCGATGAAAGGGAATTCAGAGTGGACATTTAGTGTCTAGCACCATCTCTGAAGAGGTCATGAGTACTGTGTTCCCTCTGCCTTCATTCCTTGGAGGTCAAGTGTCAAAGAGTGGCTGAGCCTTCTGGCTCTACCTAACCTTGCAGGACAGTCCTCCCCATGTGCTGAGGATGCCTTGTCTTGACCGCAATGTCTGGGCCAGTTAGGGCACCGGAAGTGGGAAGTCAAAGAAATTGACTTCCAGCATGGCTTGTTCCGCAAAGTTCTGGTATTCACTTTTTTTTTTTTTTTTTGAGTTGGTGATGTAAGGGACTGGGGCACAAAACATGCTTGCTTAAGTTTGACAACAGCTGTTTATAGGTCAAGTGACTTCAAAGGCTAATTTTCAAAGAAAAGCAAGCCCATTCTGAATTTGTCCTTCTGGATCATTTTGTGGTTATCTGAAGAACGTAACTTAGGAAGCTGTTTTTAAAAATGCCCTTTTTCCTGCTGAAAGCATTTGTAAGTAATAGAGTGTTTGTCACTTTGGGCCTTTTACAATTACTTCCCTCCACACCTTTGGACCATTAGTGTTCTGGTCTGAATTTTTTTATTGACTTGCCTGCTAGAGAACCCTTTGATGAACCAAGTCCCTGGTGTTAGGTAGGGTCTGATCTTAACCCTGCCACTGTACCCAAAGCCCTCAGTTATCTCTGAGTTGCCTTATTTTGAGAACATTTCTATGCTAAGTCAGTTCTTTGATTTTTCTTTTCTTTTGTTTTATTTTGTTTTTCATGACAGGGTTTCTCTGTATAGCCTTGACTGTCCTGGAACTCATTCTGTAGACCAGGCTGTCCTCAAACTCATAGAGATCCGCCTGCCCCTGCTTCCCAAGTGCTGGGATTACAGGCATGAGCCACCATGCCCGGTTAGTTCTTTGATTTTTACAAAGAGAATTCTTTGTGTTCTCTGGGCCTGGCCTGGGAGATACTTACCCAGACTTGAGGAATCTAACTGAGTATGTGCTGATCACACAGGCGGAGAGTCTCTGACCTTCTTCCTTGGCAGCAGGGTTTCCTAAGCCCTTATGAGGCCAGAGGACATACAGCAGTCTTGGGATTTCCTGGCCCTTTGCCTTGTGTCCCCAGATTGTTACTAGATGTGACAACTGTTAAGCATTTGTTTGTTTCTTTCCTTTAGAAAATACAATGTCCTGGTTTTAGGTTAGACCGCCAGCCCTTTATGGGTGTGGGAGGTGGCTGGTGACGGCTCCTCTGAGTTGACAGCAGGCTTTCTGGGCTCAGGGTGTTTGGGACTGAAATCTGCCCCGACATCCCAATCCGCATCACCTTGGGGCTGCTTAGAATGGCAGAATGACTGGGTGCCTTTAATTGCAGCACTTGGGAGGCAGAGGCAGGTGGATCTCTGTGAGTTCAAGACCAGTCTGGTCTACAGAGTGAGTCCCACAATAGGCTCCAAAGCTACAGAGAAACTGTCACCAAAAAAAAAAAAAAAAATGAGAAAACGGAGCTGGTGTGGGTAAAAGTGCTTCCTCCACAAGCCTGATTCCTTGGGTTTGGTCCCTAGAACTCACAGTGGGCGGAGAGAACTGCCCCTGCAAGTTGTCTCTGGCTTCCACAGTCACTGAGGCACACACACACACACGCACACACACGCGCACACACACACACGCACACACACACGCACACACGCACACACTGCTGGAGGCAGAGCAGGCTGATCTCTGTGAGTTTTGAGGACAGCCTGATTTATATGGTGAGTTCCAGGACAGTCAGTTAGACTCCACCCCAAAAAATTAATTTAAAAAAAGAAAGAAAACTTGTATAAGGTTTTCAGTGCCCTCCTGATACCACTTCTGCCCTGTGCCCAGGAGTCTCCTGTGAGACCCTCTGTGCCCCACTTGTGCAGCAGTCAAGTCCTACCCAGAGGTGTTTTATTTATTTAATTTGCATGTGTTTGCGCGTGTGTATTGGACTGTGTGTGGGCTTGTGTGTGTGCGCACACTGGTGTGGAAACCTGGAGTTTCTATCGGTCGTCTTCTCCATTACTGTCCACTTATTGAGGCAGGATTTCTCCCAGAACCGGAAGCTTGCCAATTCCAGCTAGTTCAGCTCTCCTGAGTGCTGGGACTATATAGCTGGCCTCACCTGCCAGCTTTGTGCATGGGCTTTAGGGTTTCAAACTCAGTCCTTATGTTTGCATAGCAAATACCTTATCCGCGAGCTGTCTACCCACCCATCCCCACTCTACCATCCCTTTAATGTGCTGCTGAAGTTCAAACCCTGGGAGTTGGTGTTTGCTAGGCAGATACTCTGTCCACTAAATTACATGTCCAGTTTTTTTTTCTGTTTTTTTTTTTTTTAAGTCCAGACTAGTCTAGAATTTGGAATCCTCCTGCCTCAGACTTCTGAGTACTTGGGACCACAAGTAAACACTACTATGCCTGCTTCTTTCACAACTTTTAAAAGTGACTGTGGTGGTTTGAAAGGAAATGGCCCCTAAAGGGAGTGGCTCTGTTAGGAGATATGGCTTTGTTGGAGTAAGAATGGTCTTGTTGGAGGAAGCGTGTCAGTGTGGAGGCGGGTTGAGGTCTCACGTATGCTCAAGAAACACCTGGTGTCTGACCGTTTCCTAGAACTCTCAGCTAAGTTTCCAGCACCGTGTCTGCCTGCATGTCCCACTATGATGAAGGTTTTCTGAACCTCTGAACCGTAAACGAGCTGCCCCAGTTAAATGTTTTCCTTTACAGGAGTTTCCTGCGGTCATGGTGTCCCTTCACAGCCATAGAGACCCTAACTAAGACAACGGGTTTCACAAATAATGCCACAGAAAAACCCCCTTCTATGTTAATAACTGTTTACATTTCTCATTGTCGTGGCCTTGCTGGGTCACAGGCTAGTGGAGCTTTGTGAGAAAGACCTTCGCTGCTTTTTTCCAGGCTAGAAATGGGATACTGTCATTTCCTGGGCTAAATCACTCTTTCTAGGCTCCCAACCGTGTCTGACATTGAATTTACCCAAGAAGCTTAAAACAAAACAAAACAAAACAAAACCCTGATGCCTGGTGTTATCCTTACAGCAAGTGGTCTCATTGATCAGTGTAGCCCTAGTGTTTAGATTTGGTCTTGTCTAATAAAAATGCTTTAGGTAAATACTATAACAGGGCCCTGGTTGTTCTGGAACTTGCTGTGTAGACCAGGCTGGCTTCAAACTCACAACAATCTGCCTATCTCTGCCTCCCCAGTGCTGGGATTAAAGGCATGAGCCATCACACCCAGTGGTAATACTATATATAGATATAGATATAGATATAGATATAGATATAGATATAGATATAGATATAGATATAGTGTGTGTGGGGGTTCGAGATAGGATTTCTCTATAGCTTTGGAGTCTGTCTTGGAACTTGCTCTATAGACCAGACTGTCCTTGAACTCACAGAAATCTGCCTGCCTCTGCCTCCTAGTGCTGGGAATACAGACATGGGCCTCGGGCTGGAGAGATGGCTCAGTGATTAAGAGCATTGCCTGCTCTTCC